ACAGTTTTCATAAAGGTCTATTTCATTATTGGTGAGTAGCACATTTAACAGTTAAATACATTTAAATAATGTATAGGTGACTGCAGGACTGCAGCATTGGTAACTAGACAACCAATTCAACTAGAAACCAGCTAACAAAGAACTGTCTAAATATTTGAAATACAGCTCTTGTTGAGATCATCCTTTGTTTTGATCATCATCTTGGGGGAAAAAAGCCTGCTGCTGGTCACAATGGAAATATATTAAGGCCAAATCTTCTCATATCCATTTCCAAAGGTTTCTTTCAGCTGGATTAAGCCTCCAACTCCAGGGCAAGCCCAAGCTTGTGGCCTCCAGCATTAATGCCCTTCCCCTCTACCAAAGCAGACAGTGTAAGCTTCACACCAGGCCTCAGCGTCTGACTGTAGCCTACTCCAATTAAGCTAGAGTTGTTGACTTTTGCAGAAATGGAAGCAGTAGGATCCAACTGATATTTAGCTGCAATGCCAAAACCAGTGCAGTTGGTACCTGATGTCCAAGCAAGGATTACTGAAGTCAAGATCTTCACATACTTTTCTGATAAATTGATCCTCCAAATTCTGTCCCATCATTGACATTAGTGTGTAGCTGGAAGTCCCCAGTTCTGTAGCCCACTGCAAAGTTATTCCTTGTCAGCTTTGATTTGGTACTGTCAAAGGTCATGTGGAATCCAGCAAGCCAGACTTCATAACCAAAGACAGCTGAACCATGGATTGCAGGTCCAGCAAAATCAAAGTCAACATCACAACCAAGGTTTATACACTCCCTCTTGTAAGACAACTTGATTTTACCACTTTTCTTTCCTGTGTTTGGTGAGAAGGTAGTATCAAATGTCAGTTTCAAACCTTGACAAATCTGGTCTTCAACTGCAATTTCTGTTCCCAGAACGTTATCAGTGTTCCATTTTTCTGTGAAAGTCAGACCATACTCACACCACTTACATTTGTTCTCCAAGGTCCCAGTAACTTTACCAGTATCTCTATTAAATGAGCCAGACGTTGAGAATTCCACGCCACTGCAAGACTTTGTTTCACATCCAGTTTCACCAACCCAAAACCAAATCCTTTGTTGAAAATATCTCTGGCAGCTTTGCCAAGGTCAGCATATGATGGAGGAATACACAAAGGCCACGCACAAGTCTGTACGTGGGTAGCCATGGCGAGGCCTCGGGAAGAGGGGATCTGGTGTTCTCCTGAGGGGGGCCACCACCACTGCTCCACTAGCTGCTGAAGCCACTTGGCACGCTCACGGTGGAGCTGCGGCTGCAGCAGCTGGAGGGCGAAGTCGGCCAGAGGTCCTTTTAATCACCACTAAATGATTAAAACTCTGTTAATGGTGTTTATGTAGTTCCTATTTTTATTTCTTTTCTTTTTTTTTTTTTTTTT